CAATCTACCTACCTACCTACCTACCTACCTACCTACCTACCTACCTACCTACCTACCTACCTACCTACCTACCTACCTACCTACTCTATCTGTCTGTCTGTCTGTCTGTCTGTCTGTCTGTCTGTCTGTCTGTCTGTCTATCTATCTATCTATCTATCTATCTATCTATCTATCTATCTATCTATCTATCTATCTATCTATCTATCTTATTTTTTGAGACAGAGTTTCTCTGTGTAGCCCTGGCTGTCCCGGAACTCTCTCTGTAAACCAGACTGGCCTTGAACTCACAGAGGTCTATTTGCCTCTGTCTCCCAAGTGCTGAGATTAAAGGCATGTGCCATCACTGCCTGGCTTGAAATTAGAATTTAATCTGTGGACATGTGAATGATTTTTAAATTTCCATTTATATTAAAATAAAAACTTTAAAAAGTGAAATCCTTTTAGGAAAAATAGTTTTATTTTTCTAATTTTCTTTAAAAAATTTTAGTAGTTCGGAATTTGCTTACACTCTCTTTCTGGAAAAGAGGAATTTTGTGTCCAGTGGGCATTGTTCCCAAGGAAATGCCACCTTCTTTCCTTTGAAAACGTCTCTTGTTACTTGGTGCTGAGCCTTTTTGTTCGCTCAGGACCAGATCCTGTGGCAGGTGAGAGTCCTCTCGCGCTGTTCTGTGAGTCAGTTCCTGGGTATCCAGAGGTTCACGTGGCCTCTGCACTTTTCTCAACAGTCTCCTTCACACCCCGTGTCTTCTCTCCCTTTCTGCCCTTCCGGCGGCTCCTTTCAGCATTTCTTTTGCCTGTCCACGTTCAGTTATTCATACCCTCTCAGCTTGATGGTTTTACTCTCTTTATCCATTAAGATAAAAGAAATTCTACACAATCCTTTCCCAAGATTTTTCTAAAAACTTTTCCTACAGCTATTTGAAGAACATTTTTAGACACCTTTCAAAGTTTCAGTATAATTTAAAAGTGGGGAAAAATCTTTCAGAATTCTAGTGGAACTACTTGTGATGTGGTATCTATGATTTGTCCTAGGTTACTGTCTCTCATTGGCACAGCCAACTTTCAACCGAGTATTGTTTTAACGGATTAGAAGCATTTCACATGAAAATTAGGCCAGGCATGATAGCACAGTGGTTGTAGGCCCTCAGGATTGGTGGAGTCGAGCATTAAAGACCAAACTGGGAAGCAGAAAGTATCCACATTATAAATGTCAAGAGCATCAGCTTCTTTATTAGTGAATGTAGGATATGACTGTCTGCTCATTGTAACCAAGCCTCCACGGGTGCAGGCTGGTGTCCGATGCCACCTGGGTTAAAGACACCCCCATTTTTGCTCTGCAGTGGGTTGCACCTGCATTGCATGGTTCCCCCTCTTTGCCCATATTAGCAATCTGCTTTTGTACTTTGACATCTAGGAATTCCCTAGTGAATTTTGTCGCAGAAAAAAGAGAATCATCAATATCGCTGTTAAACTTGACTTTCAAAGCTAATAGTATCTCATTTGGGGGCTTAAATTTAATAAATTTTCTTTGATTCTGGGTGAGTTTTTAAACATCAAACAATGAATTGGCCAGGGTGCAGTAAAATATTTAGATCTATTGACTATGGTTCAGAAGGGTAGAAGGCAAAACACTAGTGGTTTGATGTTGATAAATTCTCAGTACCTTAATCCACATTAATGTTTTCTTTTATCTGAGTGATCGCTGGTGACAAAAAGGGAAGAGAGAAAGTGTACATACCGAAGAAATGTACAACCTGAAGCAGTTATATTTGTAAAATATAGTTTATTTTGTCATGCTAAGTAAGTTCAGTAGCCTTTTCATCCTGACACATTGTGAATTAGAACTCCAGGGAGCAGGTAACATCCACACTTATGTGAGACATCCCCGCCATGTTTGCGGCATACCCTCTGACATTCTCTTAGTGATAGAAAATCTTGGGACTATCTTGGGATTCTTCGTTTTACCTATATATTAGCATAGACAATTAAAAATGACTTTGCCTTTTATGGGTGTTTTCTGGTTTAAGAAAAAAACCTATAGAATATGGCAATCTGGGAGATGTTTATATTTCTCATCTAACTGATTTATATGGTAATAAATAGTTCTAACAGTTTTACAAGTTGCTCAAGTAGAATAGAAAAATGGAGAGTTTATTTATTTCATTGATTGATTGATTGATTAATTGAATCAGGGTATCTCTGTACAGTTCAGGCTGACCTTCACCTTGATATGTAGCCCAGGCTGGCCTGGAACTTGTGATTCTCTCGCCTCAGCCTCTGTGTACTGAGATTACAGGCATGAACTACAATGTTATAGCCAATGCTGTTCAAATAAAATAAGATATATAAATGTATTCATTTTGGCAGTTAATCTATTTTTTATACTTAACATCATTCTTGATGTGTGCTTCTTCATAAAAACTTTGCCATATGGCTGTTAGATTTTGTGTGTGTGTTTGTGTGTGTGTGTGTGTGTGTGTGTGTGTGTGTGTGTGTGTGAGAGAGAGAGAGAGAGAGAGAGAGAGAGGTCTTTGAGAACTTTGTGTGTTTGTGTTTGCATATGTATGTGCAGATGATCACATGTGTGTACATGTGCATGGAAGTCAGAGATTGACATCAATGTCTTCCTCTGTTGCTTTCCCACATTTTGGGGGACAGGATCTCTCACTGAACCTGGAGCTCTGGATTGTTTGAACTGGGTGGCCAGAGAACCCCAGGATCCCCCTGTCCCTACCTCCAGCATATACCTTGTTTTTTCATGGATGCTGGGGATCCAAACTCAAGTTTTTATGCTTTTGTGATAAGCTGTTTAACCACTGAGCCATCTTCCCAAACCATAGAAGGTGGTTTTATAGTATTTAAGTATATGATAGCAAATAAAAAAAAACATTTAAAGACCTACCCAAGTATACGGAAAGTTAGCAAATATGTCTGTACAGTGAAAACTCATCTTATTCAGCTGACTGACTAAAAGTGAGAACTTTATCTTAAATGCAAACTGGATTGTAGGATTCATAAGGCTAAATCTTGGGTCTCTTTGTATTTGTTGCGTGTATGCTGATTTGTCCAGAAGGTGGCAGTGTGATACCAACTGCCTTCAGTGTCTTTGAATTAGAGCTGCAGCTGGACGTGCTTGTGTCCGTACCTTTCGGAATACTTAAAACTACAGCACAAACGCTGCTGATTTTATTTCCGTTATCTTATTTAGAGGTTTTGTGACCAAGCCGGTTTCTATGTATTTATTGTTAAGACATAAGTTTAATTAAGTTCTACAATTTTAGAAGTATAAGAGGGCTAAACAAACCTCTTACTTGTGTATTTTTAAGTTTCCTTTTGTTGAGTGTATTTGTTCTTATTCCAGAGTCTGTATAGTGAAGTTTTCCTTTTAAAACTCAGTACCTAGTAACTGTTGTGTACAACACACATGATCTAATATCAGTTAAACACGCTTTTAAGAAAGTGATAGTAGGAGATTGCTGCTTGCTTTTGATTTTGTTATCCACCCCTTTCTTTTCTGAGTGGAATGGAGGAAGAATAATTCAAAGCGGCTTGATCAGAAGGCTCCTGCGCCTCCTCTCCCCTCTTCATTTCAGGCAGAAGGATGCTTTTTCTTCTTAACATTCTCCCCCAGCACTCTGAATTAGAGATTTATTTGCAACGAAAAATCAATTAGTCCTAAATTTATTCATGGATTTCAGGTCCAGCGATCAATGCAAGTCCACTCAGTGGGCTCAAGGGGACCCAGTTCATCCCAGTTAATGTGTCTGAAGGGGAATTACCATTGATGCTGTTTTTTTCCCTCTAGGTCAGAGATCAGATCTCGCTGTCACGGACTGCAGCAAGTAGGAATGACTTCACCCTGCAGCTACCCAAACTGCACCTGGAGACCTTTGCAATGGAGGGCCTCAAGGGTGGGCCAGAGGTTGTAGCATGCCAGGTTAGCGTCTAAATAACATTGTTTGCTACTGAAATGTATAGAAAACTAAATTGTACTAACTAGAAGAGAATGCAAGCTTCCAAGTATTGTGAATAATTTAGATGAGATGCAAATAAATGTTTTCTAGCATGTAACATAAAAACATGGTTCTTTCAAGCCAGAAATAGCCTATTAAAATAATGCAGAAAAGCATTTCACAAAGAAAAGTATGTGTTTATGTCAAAGTGCAATATTAAAAGAACCACTTCCCTATCAGTGGGAGATGGTAAGACATTAGGCTGTTATCTTTTCAAGCTATTCTCTATTTGTTGCTTTTGTTATTTTAAAACAAGTTACTTCACATCAAATTTTCAGGATATCTGAAAATTTTCCATGTTAATTCTAAAATATATCCACATTTTAATTTCAGAAAAACTTAGAGCCTAGCTGCATTTTGCATTCAAGAGTCCTCTTAATATTTAGTTTTATTGAGCATTGCACTACAGTGTGCAAACTGGGCCATTTCCTTTTAAAGCTCAAAATACCAAGGCATGAAACCTTGGGTAGCTTTAAACTTAATTCAGGAACTTATTTCAGAATCATTCATTCTCTTTTTTTTTTTTT